TTATTTAGCATTCTATCCTACCCTTATCTCCAAATCATTTACTTCAGGAATATAACCTATTAATAAAAAAAGCCTGTTACCTGACTGTAACTATGTAATTGTTAACAATTTGTAAGCCATTCGAAATATTTGTATACAACCAAAGTGATAATACTAATGTATATAAGTTAATCTTATCTTACTAATATTATAAATCTGAAAGTTTGCGAGTTTGTGTGTGTGTGTTGCTCAATCACGCATAAACTACTGGACGGATTGGGCTGAAATTTGGCATGATGATAGCTCACATTCCCGATTAACATTAAAGCATATTCTTATCTCAAAAATCCTTTCGGGCTCCGCCCCAATGGCTCTGTAGTTTCCCATGTTAACCTTATGATTTTTCATATTTAAAAGGAATTAATGAATCTTAACAGCTGTTTCAATTAAACAAGTTGGTTCTGTTCTATGATATTCAATAGCATCAAAGTTACAAGGATTACCAACAGGGTGCAGCACTATTATTTTTTTAAATTTATGACAACAGCTAATTTCCAACCAAAAGGTGAGTGAGCGTAGCGAACGAACTTCAACCTGGAGGCGAGTTAGCGTAGCGAACGGGCTAACCTGAAGGCAAGTGAGCGCAGCGAACGAGCTCCAACCCAAAGGTGAGTGAGCGTAGCGAACGAACTTCAACCAGGACGTAAATGAGCCATGCGAATACTTATGAAGTTAAACGGGGCAAAGCCCGCCTGTACAGCTAGTACTGTTTACATTGTACATAAATGTTATCTTACTGCGAATGATTATTCGTGCATGGTCAATGGTATTATGAGTTTTTTAATTTAACATTGTGTAAAGAATACTTATCCAAATAAATAGCTAACCCACCATGTAATCTTTTCATGAATAAGTTTAGCATTTAAATTAATTCTATCTCTGGAGGTCTTTGTCGACCTCGTTTGACATTTAAAAATATCAGTTCACCCACTACGTCAAATTTATTTGCCTTATTCTAGCTTAGAGCAATTTACTAACCAAATAATTCATAAAAGCGTTTAGTTTAATTATTGTTATGTAAACAAAATCTGTAAACTTGAAATAAAATGGATAGGTAGGTGGTTCTTGCCAATATCAGTTATGGAATTTTGGCCACATATAGCTTTTTTCATATGTTGAGGTATAGTATAGGTTGAGGTAAAGGGAACACATCGTAACTTAGGAATGGTTTATCTACCAATACAGAGTAATTTGATCGATTCAGCAGAGGTCAGGATGATGCCTTGCTAATGTAGCGGAAACTAATAGTGTTAAACGACGCGTGAACCGATGACCGTTCTGGACTGGAAGTATTGTGTTCGCTTAACTAACAGTTTGTACCTTCATAAATATATCTTAGTTTATTATGCATCGATCTTTCTCAAGTTTACGCCTGTATGAAAAATTCATCTTTGTAGATAAAAAGAAAGTTGTGTAAATCTCCTTCTGCTGTTACGAACTCCTTAATAATTCTAATTTATGACAAGTTGAGAAAAGTAATTTATGTCGTCTTCTTCGTCTTCTTCCGCAGCTCTACAGGGCTTAGTGTCATTTGGCTTCCGCAACAAATCGCTTCCAATTGGCTCTCAACGTCCTCAGGCCATCTTCCACTTCTTCAAGCCATCTTATTCTCGGCCTACCACCTTAAATATTGTTCCATTTACTGTTTCTGAGACCATTAAGCATTTCCAAGTCCGTAACTGGTATTTCCATCCAATCTTCGAGGCTCATTTTGTTTATTCGTACGAATGTTGTTGTTGGCAGGTTGAGGTTGCTAATGTCAAGCCCAACCCCCAAACTGGAGGACCAGGAGTTTGTTTAGAGTCTCCTAGGCCAATTGCTTCCAGACCCCGACCTGGCCATGGATTGGTTTAGAATTGTACTTACCTAGCCTTTGGGTTCCCAAACAGTATCGTACAAGGCAGTACGGGCAGTGCTTATTTTATGGCGGCACTTCCTCGCCTTGACACAACACTAGCATCGGGCTCATGTGGACTTAATACAAGTTACCCTCCCACACCCTCGTGACGTTACCACCTTCGCCAGATGCGACCCGGTAATTTTCTACCGTGCCAAAGCGACTGAAAAATGTTGACTGGGATGTCAGTAATGAAAGTTAGTCTATAAGAACATATAAGATTTTTTATAACACTGTGTAAAACTTCTATTCTTAAATAACTTAACTTAATTTCATTCTGAAACAATTAAAGCAATTGTCTGTAAAATTAAATGCACAATAAAATACTGCCACCTCAACAAAACTGCAGACTAAACGAATTCCCATTTGTCTAATTGGATTTTTGCTCAAATATTTCTTTAAACATGTCAGATGAATCCCTGTAAGAATCAGATTAGATTTAACGAGTACTTAGGTTTGCTGCTACAGGGGAGAAGATTTGAAAAAGTTTTATGACGGGCATACATAATTTAGGGATTCAAGCTTGAAATGTTTAAATACACATTTTAACCTTAACAGAAACCTAAATATAAAATCAGTGCAAAGTAGAAGGTTTAGATTAATAATGTATATTTGATACATAGCAGTTTTCGGAGTGAAGATTTGATTGAGCATGTGTAACACTTATAAATGTTGTTCGTGAAGTTAGTTTTAGAAATGTATGGCGACGAAAATACCCTTCAATCATAGAAAGTCGGATTAGTTACTTCTCCCCTACAATTCCACACACGTAGTGATTTATGACAAAGGCAAACTTTGTATTTCCACTTCTGAGACCCAAACTTATGGTTAATGCCTTTTGCCAAAGTTTTCCCATTTCATTTAGGCACATTTTCTCACAAACACCAAACCTCTTTGAATATTGTAACTATTAGTCAACTAGACTAGTGACATTTACAAACATGTTGGCACCTTAAACTATTGGCAAGCTAATAAATTTATTTTTAAAGCCATACAATTAATGTATGGATAATCTATGTTGCAGGGCCAATAAGGTTTTGGACAGCATTTTGTAATATGTGTGATGACCAATTTTTAATCGTTACGAATTAATAGCCATACAGCATTAACTTTAAATATGAAATATATTACATAGTTACAACTCAACATTCGTCCCTATAAATAATTGTATTGCTAACATTGGTTTCGCCCATAATTCTGTAGTATGCTCGTTCAAGTCAGTTACATAATTATAACTTGGCTACAATCAATCCAAATAAATGTGTATAGAATAACCCAAACGCATGCATAGTCTACGATACAGTTTTTCAACTTAAGTTTAGATTTGTAAAAGGTAGTGATTGTGCAAATCACACACAAAAATTGTATTAATCAGTATAGACGGTGAAAGACGATTTTTTAAGTTAGCATCCTTCGATCAATTTTTTTGTTGATAAAACTATTTTCGTAACATTAAATACTAAGTAGCTCGTTGATGGAAGCATGGATTCCTCAGAAAAATCTGGCTTTTATGATGTTTTATCGTATTGTTTTGATTTTATATTTATTAATAATCCTCCCCTTAGTTGCTCTACTGTCCTAGCACCCTCAAAGGTTAGTCTAAAAACTCACACAAAAATCACACTACTGCACGACTCATCATTATTTATCATCGGGACAAGTGGATAGCAATTATATACCTTTCTGGTTAAAATTTATGTGTGTTACGAACTAAACCAATAAATCACTTTAGATTACGTATAGTGATGGTTTAAATATTATCATTGCTATTACTATACATACAATTAAGTTGCCTAATGGCGGTTTAAGCGTTTTAAATGCCCATCAGTGCAATTGTGGGTGAATTAATTAATCACCGTCCCAGTTTTCCTCTTGCGAGTACAATAGACGGTCTATCAGGAGCAGCCGAGCGGCAAGAAGCCGGTTTGCGTCCGGTAATCTATTGTGGACAGTTGCTATTGGCAGGTCCGTCATGTCCGCTTCTTGTCTCCTAAACCATGGGACATCTGCAGCGTACACAATAGTATTAGTCTGAATAGCAACAGCTTTCCTGAATATCGGATCTGTTGTAGGTGTAGAAAAACTGAACAGAGATACCTTAGTTCAAGGGTTGAGATTTTTTAGACCTTATATACTCCCTTCGGGGTTGACCCGTTTTGGCCAGTATAAGCTATGGAAATATGACTGTTTGGGTATTAAATGTAACCAATTAATTGAGTTTCCAACGATATATATCAATATACGAGAGGTGTCATATTGTATCTGAGAACCCTTAAAATATGATGTATACAGTGGCTTGAATATTGGATAACACAGGGAATATTTTTACTGTTTTGAATGTTCAATATAAAACAAAAATAAAAGTTTTGCTGAACTCATATCTACTATCTATGTATTAAATGTTTAAAAATCTGTGTTTAGTGAAACCACTAAAACAAACAAAAGCGGATCTAAACCTTAATAGTGTGGCATATGGTTGGAAAGATTTTAAAAAAGCGCAGTTTTCAACATATGTTGCTACCTTCTTGTTTACAGGCTGTAGAACAATCTTTTAATTTTTATCAAAAACCTTAATTTTAATCTTTGGAACTATTTTAAAGGAGTTTTTAATATTGATACTCCCAACATTTTCAATGGTTCTTTTTCAAGAATTTAATGTAGACACGAAAATGACATCATATACTTAGTAAAAATTTAAATAATTCTTTGGGAAGCCAATTTTTATACTTGTAACCACTGTGGCGTCAACTTAGCCACAGCTGTGTTGCCTTTGGTCTATGCTTTGTTTTCATATTTGTTGTGTAACAGCTGTTGCTTGTTTTTGTACAAATGTTCAGTTTTGATTATGTTATGATTCCACACACAACTTAATTCGTTTGTCAATAAAACTTATCTTAATATTCGTTCATATAGTGTTGATATTATTTCATACAGAATAAACATCACTATATATTGGTGACCCTGAATAACGACAACAAGAAGCACGACATTCCTACATCAATATTACCAATGTCGCTAGAAGAAATCGAAGCTCAATAATTGGCGAATCTACGAGAGCATCAAAATGAACTTTCGACCAACGTTCAGCAACGCAACGAACCTGGTAATGTATCAGTTAGTCGAGTAGCAGTAAAGCTTCCACCATTCTGGGCCGATCGACCTAGTCTATGGTTTGCTCAGGTAGATTCCTAGTTCGCCATCTCAGGCATCACAAATGATGACACTAGGTTTCATTACGTCGTTTCTCAGCTTGAAACACGTTACGCAGTGGAAGTAGAGGACATAATCACAAATCCGCCTGCAACGAATCGCTACGCAGTACTTCGTTCGAAGCTAATTGAGAGGCTGTCTAATAGTGAAGAAGAATGTGTTCGCCAGTTGATAAGTGACGAAGATATCGGAGATCGCAAGCCATCGCAGTTCTTGCGCCACCTACGTTCTCTGCTCGGTCCAGCCCAACTACAGGACAACATCCTTCGAGCACTCTGGCTACGTCGTCTCCCTGTTAACATTCAAGCGATTCTCACAGCTCAAAATGAACTTCCACTTGATAAACTTGCGGATATAGCGGATAAAATCATTGAGGTTTCACCACAAGTATCAGTAAATGCTACGGCAACTCGTGAACACACAAAGTCAAATGACGACCTCAGTGCTGCTATTGCAAGACTGGCGCAGAGGATTGGCGCACTCGAAGTATCCCTACGCATCAGAATACATCAAAATACGCAAATCAAGATCAGCACAAATCTACAAGCCGTATCTGCTGGTATCATGCCAAATTTGGTGAGCACGCGTCAAAATGTACATTTCTCCTTGTTCTTACGCGGGAAACTCCAAGGACGGCCAGTAACAGCGGCGACTGACTGTCAAGCACCCAGCCGCAGAATTTTTGTCTCGGATCAAAAGTCGAATCTCCGGTTCTTGATCGACACCGGCTCTGACGTATCATGTTATCCCAAACGTCTTCTACGAGACCGTCGCACATCTACAGACTTTGAACTAAGTGCCGCCAACGGTAGTACTATCAAGACTTACGGAACCTGTTCTATGACATTGGACCTAGGCCTTCGCCGTAGTTTTGTATGGCAGTTCACAGTTGCAGATGTCAGTGTTCCAATCATTGGCTCAGACTTCCTCAGTTACTACCATTTGCTTCCTGACTGTCGATTGTTGCGACTTCACGATGCCACAACTGGACTTGTTACAGGAGGACAACTTTCCGTTACGACTCAAAGTAGCGTAAAATCCGTAGAAATATCACAGAATGGCAAACAAGTGCGAGTGAGCTTAGTTAGACAGGGTGAAGCCTGCATATATGTTACCCGAAAAGTGTAATCACCCAACAATCAAAGAGCCTCAAAATATACAACCTCCAAACACATCCCTCAACCCTCCAAACCCGGCATCATTCAGAAGCTATATAACTCGGTATGGACGAAATGTTAAGCTCAAGCTTCCTGGACTTCCAGTCTCTGCGGGGGGCTGATGTGGCGTCAACTTAGCCACAGCTGTGTTGCCTTTGGTCTATGCTTTGTTTTCATATTTGTTGTGTAACAGCTGTTGCTTGTTTTTGTACAAATGTTCAGTTTTGATTATGTTATGATTCCACACACAACTTAATTCGTTTGTCAATAAAACTTATCTAAATATTCGTTCATATAGTGTTGATATTATTTCATACAGAATAAACATGACTATACCGCTTATATGCATCATCACACTTAATTTACTTCAATTTTCATACTTGTAACCTCTTACATTCATCATTACACTTCATTGACTTCAATTTTTATACTTGTAACCGCTTATATGCATCATCACACTTAATTTACTTCAATTTTCATACCTGTAACCTCTTACATACATCATCACACTTCATTTACTTCAATTTTTTTACTTGTAACCGCTTATATGCATCATCACACTTAAGTTACTTCAATTTTCATACCTGTAACCTCTTACAAAAGTCTCTATGCCTGCAATAAATTAATGAGCTCAAAATTATTATCCCACACAACAAAATTACGTCTGTATAAAACAATAATCCGACCAGTAATTTTATATGGCTCAGAGACTTGAATCCTGAACAAAAAAGAAGAAAAAAAATAATAGTTTTTGAAAATAAAGCATTGAGGAAAATTTTTGGCCCAACGCTAGAAAATGGAGAGTGGAGGAAGAGGCACAACCAGGAAGTAAGAGAAATGTACAAACATGCAGACATCATCAGAGAAATAAGAAGTAGGAGACTAAAATGGGCAAGACTCATACTAAGAAGAGAAGAAGAGTCAAATCTGAAGAACATTCTGAGGGAACACTAGAGGGACGAAGACCCGGGGGACGACCAAGGACTAAATGGTGGAACCAGGTGCAACAAGACATGAGGCGGCTGGGAATTGGAGAGGTGGATGCTGAAGAAATAGACGGATGGAGGCGCTGTGTTGCTGAGGCCAAGTACCGACTGGGGTACAAATGGCCAGGGCAGTAAGTAAGTAAGTAAGTGACCTCTTACATGCATCATCACACTTCATTGGCTTCATTTTTTATACTTGAAACCGCTTATATGCATTTTCACACTTTATTTAATTTGTACTTAAACCAAAAACAAATTTGTAACACTGATGGTTAGCCACCCTGTATGGATGATTTAACCATAGGATTTTGTGGTGTTTCAATTTCCCCCTAAACCTAAACTACCTAATTTACCTCACTAAACATAAGTTTTAACAACGACACAAAACTGTACAGTTTGGTTTTCCGAAATCAGCATACTAAACAGTACTCAGCAGCTACTACATTTGTTTTAAAATCGGCTTTCACAAATTAGTTCTCGGTACCCCAGACCACTCTAAAACGTTAAATAACTCACTGAATTAATCGGATTTTTTTTATTGTTTTCTAAGTCAGTATTAAACTAAATGCATACTAATTTACGCCTCTCATTCATTTTTGTATATGATAGCCTAACTAGAACTTAGATAAGATAAAACAAATACGATATTTATTCCAAAGGTAAAATAATTGAGTGAAAAGATATTTAACAATACAGTGGAGCTTTTTTTTCAATTAATATTTCGTGAGAGGCATACATTGTTCGGCAAATGGCAACATGGCCGAATATTTTCTGTCAAAGAATTATTTAGATTGACTCCCAAGCATAATATTAACCATGTAGGGCTAAAGGATGATCTTCGAATGAAATTTAATTTACGAATACAATTAAAATGTTATCTCTTAAGTAATTTAACTTGTCTTATACTAAGTCTCCTCAAAGCTCGCGTCACTAGATGAGGTATACAACTGAAGGTAAGAGCAAAGTTGCAATTTCATTAACATAATGCTTACAACTTAGATGTTTCCGTACAACTTTATTTCAAGATATAATGAGTTTACTCGTCAACACTGTTCATTAAGCCCACGCTTTGAGTAAATAAAGCCGCGAGTACGGTACTCAAAGGCACAGGAAGGTTATTGACCATATTGACTTAAAAAATCATCATGAAAGTTTTAAAAAAATATTCTGAAAATAAACCGAACAAAAATAATTCAGATTATTTTTTAGGTAATATGTAAAAATGAAATATTTATAAGTTATATTTTTGTCATTTAGATAATTGGCATCCCAACGGACGTATTTAGATCATGACCACAGTCTGATTGTTGTTATTTACCTCAAGAAAAAATATAACGAAGCGAGTTTCTTATTTATGTTTATCAACACCATAACAATTTTCAGGTTTTTAGTAGAATTGTCAAAACCCTCCACCATTATTGGTGCTGTTGCCATTTAACATCCACATATAGTTAGAAGCACCATAGCCATGAGTGATAGCCCAATGCCAAATGTATCTGGACCCAGAATTAATCTCACTTGGAATTGAATACACAGATTGGCAAGTAGCCTTCTATATGTCAGACAAAAAGTTTTGTGTTTTCATTCTGCCTTGGAGACCAATCAATATTTACTTTTAAAAAGCTCACCTCTAAACTGTAGACATCCACGGGGCGAAGACCGAGGGGAATATTGGGAAGAGAATAGGATAAAGGTATTCCTAGATATGTGGATCATTTTAGTGCTTATTTTGGTTTTATTGGTTTAGTATTTTAGTCGCTCATACAAACAGACAAATAGACAGACAGACACCACCTCAATTTTATAATAGTATATATATAATTCTACACAATAAATTTGAATTGTTTGTAAAAAGTATCAATTAATTATAATGTATTTTCAACATTGCCCATTAAGCTACCATGTGATAGTTTTATAAATCTAGGCGGAAAGATTATTTAGTTTTTAAAATCAAAAGTGGTTGTGTATATGTTTATTATGTGTTGTTTGATAGGAGATTTTGAAGAACTTAAACGGCAATGATCCTGCAAACAGCAATCCTGGTGAGAAGAAGCTAGAATAAATATGAAGGTAAAAAGGGTATCTCCATTTTATGATTTTGCTTACCAGAAGATTAATGACATATAGTTTTTGTGTAAAAACCTTTTTCACGTACTTTGCTCTTCTGTGTCACAACGATAATATACAAATCTGTCATTCCAGGCTTATTGACCAGTAGTCAACAAGACAGGAAGAAATTTACACAACAGAAGCAAAACATGTTTTCCATTCAACAAAGCAATTACATTGATAATTAATCGAAACGCTATTTCTATATAGAGGTGGATTATGATATTCGTCCATTGGAAACAATTTAATTCAAGCAAAGTTGATTTGAGAGTGAAGTAATAAGAAACTGAAATAATTCATCAGTGAGTAGATGACTTAAAGAATTTAGTTGAGAAGGTTTTCTAATCGACGAAGTATAACGACATGATAATCCACTTATAGCGACTAGAGCAGTTGTCGAATTTCTCATCCTTCTCTGCGTTTATGTCTCATGAATTATTTACTACTTATAATTGTCACAACTTTCGCGATGGAGTGTGATACAGATTATAAATTATTATTTTAGAGCCATTATAAAAACTGAAATACTAAAATTAACTTTTAACTTTGTATTTTCTGGTCCACCGTGTGATTCATAATTTTCTTCTGACAAATAAGTGGGGTTTTGCTTACGTGAAACAGGGTTTTTTTAATAGTACCAGAGCATTAATAACTAACTTCAAGAAACACGGACCCATTAAACGTAACCGATGCTAAACAAACCTTTAAAAAAATGTTTTATTCGGAGATTACAGCAATAAAAAGTATTTTGATGATTTTAATTGAATATAGTGTATATTACAATATCCTTATATTACCTTAACTACTATTATGTTACCTTACTCCCTTCTAATCTTAATACATATATTGCCCTACTATCAGCTGTTACCTGAATTTGTTATCGATCGCGACCCTTTGTCGGTCAATGTCATTTGTATGCAGGGAGAAGGAACTTGGAGCTAATGCACTAGAAACCGATAAGCCGCGCTGATATACGCTGCCCTAACTTGCAATCGCGGTGATGCGGTACATACAAAACAGGGGCCGGGTAATCGTTTCTACATTTACTTCATCACCCCGGCCTAACTAATGTGTTGTATGTTAAATGATTTGTTGTCAATGAACAAATCCAGAAACTCAACCAAGAATTTGTAAGTAATGTAAATTGTTACAGGTATGGAAATAGTTATTTGTGTAACTAGTGGGCAAAGGCCTTTTGCACTCGTGTTACACATTATATTTTTCCTACAGCCACTATAAAGCATATAAATAATTAGTCTTTCAAACACTATACAACACGTTTTTAGGTTCAGCTGGCAACACAAATAGGTGCCCTAGAGAAAGTAGTACCCGGTCCGTATCACTCCCCTATTTTTCCTCGGCAAGAAATGTGCTCCGCGACTTGAAAATATAGTACCGTATGTTTTTGTAATTTGAAGTGGTTTCCGCGCCTAAAAATGTTTTAAAGGTATTTTCTTGTTTATTATGATCGTAGGAATGTTTTAAAAACGTTTAAAAGAAAAGTCCAGAAAGTCCAGAAATACCGAAACTATGAACACGTAATGACAGGTTAAATCGTAGTTATAATAGTCAATCAGCTGCTCATAGTATTATTATCTTTAAGTGTGCAGCAATTCGCAGCTTTCTGTACTATAAACAGTACAAGGAAGCCAACTTTGTCGGGGACTGTAGGAAAACAAACTTTGTTATCATATTTACCAACTGTAAAAAACATATGTTGGTGATTCTTTTTAACTTTATCAATTTTTTATTGAAGTCCAACAAGCAAATACATGTTGAGAAGTAAAATCATAAATATCAATTTTCTCTTGATACGACAACTTGCACGTTGTTGCAGAGATTCCGTTTTATGCAATACATATTTGATTGGTGTCTG